TATAGCAGAAGATGCATCATCAGAAAACAGATACATTTCCGAATCCAAACCTTCACTTTCTAGCTGATTTTTTTCCTGTCATCTCCAGATCACGTTCCTCTAGTTCTCGGCGCAACTCAGACACTTTTAAATCACACAGTTTTTAGCCATTGTTGTTCACTATTTATTTACAATCCCTCTTCTGACACCAATGTAACGATTGTTTAATTTAAAAATAGTTTATTTTTATTTATTTAAAACAGTTTATTTATAATTTATTTACACCAATTACTAATTAATTTATTAGACTCAAGCACTATTATAATTCACACTTCTAATTTATTTTACAATGTATCTTGATTTGACAACATTTATTTTATATTGAAACTTAAACTAAACGGCAAAAGAATTCACTTATACAAGGTGTTTCAAAAAAGGTATGTCATAAATTCTTCCTCAGATAGATTACCAAATAATAAGTGGATTTGGATATATTTGCCTAGATCAAAAACTGGCTCCCAACAAAGTAAACTAACATTAAGAAAAACGTTTTTTTTTTTTTTAAAAGGTTTTTTTGCGATTTTTTTCTTTGAAATTTTTGCCAGTGCTGTAGATTTGAAGGCCTAATATTCTAAGAAGAAAATAAAGCGGCCCTTTTAAAAAAAGTTAAGGGGTTGGGTACCTTTTAACCCCCCCGTATTTTTTGCTTTATCGATCTTAAAATCAAAAAGGACTATTAATTTTTAAATTTTTTTTATAGCGAAATAAACTTTGTATCTTTCTTAGTTAACGAGCTCTTTACAATTTTTTAACTGAATTTCTAGAGCAATTCGTCCGTCGTGGACCTAACATATCAACAAAACTAAGAGTAGGGCAGGAGTTATTGTACAAAAAACGCATATAAAAATCAGTGGTGTGCCTAGGGCTGTGCTTGAGCTGCCCCTGCAAAAACTACCTCTTTTATTTATATTTTTGTAAAAAAGGTATTTATAATATTGGATTGGCACCATAAAAATGGTGTGCCACCCGTCCTAATGGGTTCACTATGCCAAAGATAAAAATAGACGTTAGTTTGGAAATGTATTTATTAAATTCAATAGTAATTAAAAAAATATTTTTTTAATTAAACAATTAACAAAAAATTAACAATTACAAATAAACACTTGACAATAATTATTATACATATTTTATAAACTATTTAATTTAGTAAATATTTAACATGTCCTCCTCCTTCTTGAATACAAAAATGTAAATAAAAGAGGTAGTTTTTGCAGAGGCGGCTCAAGCACAGCCCTAGACACACCACTGATTTTTATATGCGTTTTTTGTACAATAAATCCTGACCTACTCTTAGTTTTGTTGATATGTAAGTCCAGGACGGACGAATTGCTCTAGAAATTTAGTTAAAAAATTGTAAATAGCTTGTTAACTAAGAAAGATACAAAGTTCATTTTAATATAAAAAAAATTAACAAATTCATAGTTCTTGTTGATTTTAAGATCAATAAAGCAAGTTTCTATATGTCAAAAAAAATACGGGGGGGGGGGGTTAAAAGGTACCCAACCCCCCAACTTTTTTTAAGGGGATCGCTTTATTTTTTTTTCTCCTTAGAATATTGGACCTTCAAATCTACAGCACTGGCAAAAAATCACAACAGCAAAAACGTTTTTTGAATGTTAGTTTAACGCCCTGTAACTTTGTTAGGAGCCAGTTTTTGATATAGGTAAATATAGCCAAATCCACTTATTTTTTGGTAATCTATCTGAGGAAGAATTTATGACATACCTTTTTGAAACACTCTGTACATAGAATTTGTCTAGAAAGAGGAAATTTTGTTTAGAAGAATCTCGATGCGTTTGTGAAATGCTTCTTCTACGCTTCGGCTGCTTCGAGGTGGACGGGCAGCAGCGAAAGTGGAAATAGATATATACCGGCATCGGTGAAGGTTAAAGAACAGGATTGGTCTCATGCAGGCGATCGCACGACATTATTAGTTTTATCAAAAATTGCATTATTTATAAAAAGTTCTGCATAGTCTAAAACATAAAATTCAATCAACGGACATTAAATTTTTTGAGCCGTATACGAGGTGCGTCAAAAAATATAAATTTTGCTCAAGAATAAAGTAGGTACCTTTATTTTTGACAAACCTCGTATACGACTGATGCAATATTTGGTATCAGATGATTACATTTTAGGTTTTAACCCATAAAGAACTTTTTATGAAGAATAACTTTTTTATCCTAAAATTATTCATAAAAAATTGTACATGGTCTAAAACCTAAAAATACAACCATTAGATATCAAATTTTACTCTTGACCAAAAATCAGTTTTTTGACAAACCTCATGACTCATAAAATTCGATAGTTGTATTTTGGATTTTAGACCATGCACAATTTTTTATGAAGAATACATTTTTTCGATAAAACTAATAATAAAAAAGTTCTCCATATATAGCAAACTTACGTATATAGTTGTAATATTACTGATATTTAATTGTGAAAGAAGAAAAATTATCTTCAAATGAAACTGTACGTATAGGTTAAAGCGTTTCTCTTTCTCAGATTCATGTATTAATGGAACGTACAGGGGGTCAATTCTCGACTTGTAGGAACCTTTTCCTATAGGAATTTGTGACACTTTCCTACATGTAGACAAATGTCATAAATTTCCGATGTGTAGAAAAATGTCAAAAATTCCTATAGGAAAAAATTCCTACGAGTCGAGAATCGACCCCCTGGTATCGGTAAGGTATAGCCCGAGCTGAAACTATATTTTTGTTTCAAAGAACATATTCTAGATGGCGCTGTACACAACAATTTACAGAAATCTACAATTGATGGTGGAAAGAGTGGGAGTGTCATTTGTCATTGTCAGGCATCCATTAGGTGTTTTCCTTTGCATCGAAAGTGTAGCACTGAGCTACACCACTTCTGAAAATATCGTTCCATTTATACAAATTGTATGGATGGAACGACATTTTCAGAAGTAACGTAGCTCAGTGCTACACTGTCGATGCAAAGGAAAAGACCTATTATCGATTACCTCGCGGTGAATGACATTTGCCATTTTACCTGTATTTTTTGTGATTATCAATATCATATTTTCAATAATTATTATTTGTTTGTATTTGGGTGTGCTCTGGATCCTGGATGAATAAATAGTAAGTATTTTGTAAATAATTGTTTATTGTATTGTCAACTTGTTCTTTTTCAATTGTTTTAAATGTTCAATTTGTTTACTTGATCTTGCTGACGATTGAGCTTATTTTAAATTTTTGTGGTCATCTTTAGTTATAAAAGCTGTAATATATCGTATTGTTGTATGCCAAATTGTTTTGTAAACACTCTGAAATCCTAATAACGATTTATTTCAAATTTGAGTATTGGGTGTTCGCAGTCCATTTTTCAAGAATAAAACAACAAATTTGTAAAAACTATTTAGTATGTGATAAACATTTTGAAGATATGTTTAAAGTTCTTGGTGCACGCAGCGATCGATCTAACTGTATTTTTATTTGTTCTAGTACAAACTTTTTCAAGCCGTTTGGAGCGGCAGTATTGCATCGTTGAAGACAAAAACAGCCTAGTCAGGGAAGTAATAGTCATTGTACTTTTTGTGTTCATGCCTCACATTTGATTTTTATATTGATTTAGTGCAGATTGTTACTTTTACTGTTTTTTATTTGTTCTGGTACAAACTTTCTTCAAGCCGTTTGGAATGGCAATATTGGATTGTGGAAGACAAAATAGCCTAGTCCGGGAAGTAATGGTCAGTATACCTTTTTTTATTTATGCCTCACTTTCTGTGCTCCCCAACAGATTTGAAGGGTTCAGGAAAAAAAGGGGCCTAGTCACAATTACCAAAATGTTCAGAAAACCAAATTTAATTTAGACTGACTAAATACAAACTTTTTATACTTTAAGATAATTGATTACAAAAAGATGTTACTTTGTTTAAATGTTGCCTGATTATATTGTAGTTTACCACTTAATTTACCAGACAGTTGTAATTTTTTATTCTAAATACTGAAAATGACAAACAAACAGTAGGAAAGTCCTTGGACATAATTTTAAATGCACTGTTTTGCATTTGCTAATACTGGTATTTTACAAAATAAGGCGACCAGTTCAATTTTGATAAAAATGTGGCTTAGCTGCTTTTTTCTTCCTGTACCCTTCTTGATTTATAAGTTGATTAATATTTATTTTTTGTTTTAGATAAAACTCTTCAAGCTCTGTGGACAATGACTTAACTTTCCAGCTAATTAACACGCTACATTTAATTATTCTATTTTGTATGTTTTTTTTGTTTTAATAAATTAATTTTGTTGATCATGCTTTTTAATTTTTTGTAAAAATATTTCAACTTGTAGTCAAGTTAGGATTGGTTCATACTACTCATTTTTTGCTTTATTGTAACAAATATAATTTTATTGCTACAATAAACGTAAAAAAGGAGTTGGTATGAACAAATCTTAATTTGACTACCACTTTTAAACTAAATATTGAAGGACCATTTTGAATGTTCCCGCGTTTTGTGTTAACTAAAGTAACCGCGAGATGGCGCTACTTCCGCCAAATAGTTCAAAGTACGCCCACCGGGTGTTACAAAACTTTCTCAAATTTTAATATTGCAGTTTCCATTCTAAAAGTAATTGTTCTGTGGGAACGTATGACGTCTAGCTTTACGGAAGTATAACGTGTCTCGGACCATGTTTGACAATTTGTTCGAGTCATGTATTCTGTCCAATTTACAGTATTGATACTTTTTAAAAATAATCGTGATCTAAAAAACAAGTTAAGACAATAAAGGAAAGTTTATATAAAAAATATTATTCAGAGTGTCAAGATTTGATTTCAGTACAGTGGTACCTACTGCTTGCAAGCTTGTTCAACTCGATTCTCTACAATTTTGGGGCTCCTGCTTTTTCCCCCCAAATAAGTCTTGAAATTATTAAATTGAATCATTTATGTAGGTTCTGTGGAATACTGAAACTTACTGCAATTTTTTGTTACAGATGCTTCTGGGGTTGCTGCCTGATTCCGTGCTGCATGGAGAAATGCATGAACGTATCCCATTCCTGTCCCAATTGTAATTTCTACCTTGGAACGTTCAAGAGATAAAATAAGACGGAGACCAGCAATTTTTCTAATTAATAAACCGCTACAGTTAAAAAACTTGACATCCCATAAAAAGCGGACAGTTCCAACAGAAGGATAAGACTTGATTAATAAACAAAAAAAACCAATGTGTTCTTTAAATTACGACAAAACAAAATCATTTTCTATATCTAAATAAAATTGTTCGTTAAAATTTATTAATAATACACAAATTACCATTTTGTGTTAATTTTAAATTAGAATTCTAATCATTAACCTCGTGAAGTAACAAAACGATTAATTATATGCACGTGGTACAATTTTTTTAAACGAAATTAAAGATTTTTAAATAAAAAATTCATGTAGGATCATAATTATGTAAAATTATCAAACAAATAGGTATTGAAAAAAATCATATGCGTTGGTTGGATAGATCATGGAATTAATTTTTATATTGATAAATATATAAGTATAGAGAGGGGGACACTATTTAATTATATATTTTTTCACTTGATCGCCGGATATTGACTGTAAAGTAATTGACAGATATTATATTTAAATAATTAAAATTACTATTTATATTTAGTTGACTTGCAACAGATTGTTAATTAATCTACAAACAATGTTTACTCAGTTAAATACATTCATTAAACAGCAAACATTACATTGCAACCCGAATCTTTTAAACAATTTTAAGGCCCTATTTGTCATGTTATTATGCTCTTTTTAATGCTCTGTTAAATTTAGCTTATATGCAGTATCTGCTAACATTGAGCCACATCCTGATAAATTTAATAAATTAACTGGCCTTATCTGTTAAATTAGTTAATTTGCAGGTTCAAACCAGAATATGTCAACATCTGGAGTAAGTACATATTAAATAATTTCCAGATAAGTTAATTATTTTCCAGGTGGCGTCAACTTAATTAGTATCTGTTTAATTATAACAATCTGTTAGATTAATTTGCAGATTTTTCTGTAATGAAATCTGGAGTAAGTATATATTAAATTACTTCCAGATAAGTTAATTATTTTACAGGTGGCGTCAATTTAATTATAGTATCTGTTAATTATGACAATGTACGGTAATTAAGTAAAACAATTTATGGCTAAAATAAACATCACATAAAATTATATGTAAATATTCTGCACATAAAAGATACTACATAGTATGTAAATTATTATTTGCCATGGTTTTATAGTCGACTGATCTTGGATGTTTGTCGGTGATATTTGTTTTTACTTCAACCATAACGATTTCAGATATTTACACAAAAAAATCACTTAAATAATACATTAACGTTAAAACTATTGAAGTACGTGATTGGAGATTCTATAAGACCGCAAATAATTTTACTAATAAGTTTGTATAAAAAGATAATTTATTTTTAAGCTTTTAATAATATATTTTTCTGTTGCTATTTTTTTATTACCCCTTACCTTACACACATCCGTTAACTCCTCTTTCACCAACAACTCTGGCATCTTCTTACTGGGATTTTTCTATTTAATACTATGACTAATTAAATGGCATAAGCTTTTCTTAAACGAGCTTATGAACCAATATAAATAAGAATACTACCTCTAGAAGTAAAAAGATGTAATAAGAGTGTCTTTTGTAAACCAGAGATGTATTAAGGCAATGGAATAACTTTTTAGGTAATACAAGAACCTTTGATAATAAGGGTGTGGATTGAGGTAGTGGGGCTGGAAAACATTAACAAATCCGACACAGAACACGAGGCTAATTACCTTAGTAGTTGATGCCGACGATACCTTAAAAAATACGTATATTTTGAGGTAATACAGTGATTTCTAAAGCAATGGAATGTCTTTTAGGGTAGTAGAGTAACCGTTGAGTAATAAGAGTGTCTTTTGAGCTAGAGTGATTTATGAAAGCTTTTTAAATTATTAGAATAATGTAATGTTTGTTTATTTTAAACAACAGTTTATGTATTAATAATTTATTTAAACACTTATTTATTTTAAAACAATACTATTCTAATTTATATATATTTCGAATGACTTTGAATTGTTCACTATTTATCTTTACAGTCCAATACTTTATTCTCAACTGTCTATATACAACTGACTGCTCCGTGTTCCTCCACCAATATTTATATACACATTTAAAATTTTGGCGACGGTACCAGAATCTTGCCTATTCTCATCAACACTAGAAATTTCTCGAAAGCGCCTTCACCATAGTCGTCACATATGTTTGGTCTTAAGGGGTTTAGTTATAATAATAATAATAATAATAATAATAATAATACTCTCCCTAATTCACCCCCTTACGAGTGAATTTCAACCCCTGAAGTCGACTGAACGACTTGTGTAGGGGAAGGGACGGCTATTATTATTATTTGCCGTGGCGCTCCGGGGCGACTTAAAGATGATTGATGGTGCCATTTGACTTACAGGTGAGGAAAACCCGGAAAACCTCACCCACCATCATGTATGATAATCGAACAAGTTGAGCCTCAAAGGCCAAACAAGACAGAGAGGGACATGACTGAATAATGAAATGGCTCACATTACATTGCCCCTCCTTAAGAGAAACTTACGAAACTAAAATGGAATAGTTGTTTCTGCAACTGAACCCTCTTTTGCAATTTCTAGTTGCATGGAAGTAATAAGGGACTGTCTTCGCTGTAACCTGGACACTGAGAAAATGGCTGCAGACCAGTATTTGGACTTCGGTATCTTGAAAGATTACTTCCACCATGTTCCTAATGATCCTCCAATCCAGCTGATTTCCTTCTATCTTCGGCATGGCTAGTTTTTGTACATTGGACTCCAGTACGTGCTCCCTTAACCTAAGTAATGCTTCCCTTCCCATACATCATGAAAAGTGGATCGATCTCGGAAGGTGTTCTTCGTTATCAAATAAAAAAGGTAGCGCGATTTATCTTGAATTTTCAAGGCTTTTCCAGGGGCTGGTAACTGACGTTGAAGTTCTTACGAAACACATATGCCAGTCCTCGCACATCGTTGATGCTGGCGGAAGTACTATGGACCAGCGAGTAGTATTTTGGAAGCGAGAGCAGATCTTGTTGTTGCTCGGTCGTAACACCATGTCTTGCTTTTCCGGTACCTCCATATGCACCCATAAATTCTTCAAAGACAAGGTCAGGTGTTTCTTGGAGCTGGTTTACAACTTCTTCCTCGTCATGGGCACCCTCAAATGGCGCCAGCCGGTTTTGGTGCACTACCTTAGGTTTACCGTTCGAGATCTTACTTATACGGTAGATGACATCATTGATTCTTTTCTTGATGAAATATGGACCTTCCCAAGATCTTTGATGCTTTGAAGAATAACCATTCTGTCTTTTTGGATTATGGAGCCAGTCTTTTTCGCCTTCCTTGAAACATCCCTCTGTAACTTGGGTATCGTACCGGTTCTTCATCCTGTCGCTGGCGATTTGAAGATGCGAGCGGATCAATTCATGCATATCGTCCATTCTTCTTCGTAACTCGATCGCATAATCTTCACCAGCTACATCTCCAGGTCGGCAACCAAACTCGAGGTCACATGGTAGTCTCATCTCACGCCCAAACAGGATCTTTGCTGGTGTTTGGCCTGTTGATTCATTGACAGCGGATCTATAAGCCATTGCAAAGAGCGAAAGATACTGATCCCAATCTCGCTGATGGTTTGAAACCACTTCTGACAGATATTTGCCAATAGTCTTATTCATTCGCTCTACCATTCCATCGGATTGTGGGTGCAATGCTGTGGTTCTGGTTTTCTTCATGCTTAGTCTGTCACAGATTCCACGGAAAAGTTGACTTTCAAAATTTCTGCCTTGGTCACTGTGGATCTCCAAGGGCACTCCAAATTGACAGATAAACTCTTTAATTAACACATCTGCAACAGTTGCGGCCTAGACTTCCACCCACTTTGTAAAATAATCCATAACCACCAAAATGAATTACCATCCTCGGTCGCAGGGAATGGTCCAGCAATATCTAAGGCGATCCTCTCAAATAGGCTACCAACGTTGTATTGCTTCATGGGAGCCTTCCTTTTTTGTTGAGGTCCATTACTCATAGCACAGGTGGTACATTTCTTATACCAGTCCTTTACATCATCGGAACTGTTCATCCAGTAAAACCTTTCCCGAACTCTATGAAGGGGTTTCCTAACACCGAGATGTCCTCCTGATGGACTGTCGTGTAACTGACGAAGTACTTCAGCTACTCTACTTCTTGGAATTACCAACTGTCTTTTGTTCTCGGGACCAACATCATTTTCAAGTATTCGCTTTAGCAAGCCATCTTCCAGTATAAAAGAGTCCCATTGAGCTAAATACGACTTAAGTACTAGAGAGAGATTAGATACTTTTTTTTTCTCTTTCCATTGTCGCATTTTATTTAAAACGGTATCGTTCTCTTGTTCTTCCCTAATTTTAGCAGGGACCCACTCATCGTTAACTACAGTTGTTTTTAGTAGTCCACTTTCTTTGGATTCCGCTTTGTTGCATTGGGAGCCCTCTGCTGGACATGGTCTTCTAGATAGAGAATCAGCATTTATGTGACTTCTTCCGGCTCGATGTTCAATCTTGAAGTCGTTCAATCCATCTGGCGATTTGACCCTCCGGGTTCTTAAATTGCATTAACCACTTAAGGGCATGATCGGTCCGGATTAAAAATTTTCTTCCGTACAGGTATTGGTAGAAGTGTTCCACACACTTTACGACTGCCAGGAGTTCTCTTCTTGTGACGCAGTAATTTCGTTCAGGTTTCGAGAGCATTTTACTAAAATAACCTAGTTCTCTTTCTTTCCCTTCCTGAATCTGTGAAAGCACTTCTCCAATTCCCACATTACTAGCATCAGTATCCAGGATAAATTTTCCCTCTGGTAGTGGATAGCCTAGTATTGGTGCTGTTGTTAAATGCTTCTTTAATGTTTCAAAGGCAGTTTGGCAGTCCTCGTCCCAGCAGAATTTCCTCGCTTCTTCTATGAGTCGTGTTAATGGCTTAGCAATATCTGCAAACTTTCTGATAAATCTTCGGTAATAAGTACAAAGCCCAAGAAAACTTCTTATTTGGTGTTTATCCTTTGGTTGTGGCCACTCTTTGATAGAAGCGACTTTTTCCTTATCTACAGCCACGCCATCCTTGCTGACTACATGACCCAGGTAATTAACTTTATTTTGGAATAACTGGCATTTCTTGGGGTTAAGCATCAGTTGGGCAGCTTGAAGTCTTTTGAAAACATCTTCTAAGTTCTTTAGATGTTCATCAAATGTCTTCCCCAAGACTATGATGTCGTCTAAATATACCAGGCATGTTTTCCAGCATAACCCTCTCAATACGTTTTCCATAAGTCTTTCAAATGTCGCGGGGGCATAACATAATCCAAATGGCATAACATTATATTGCCACAATCCAGATCCGGTGGTAAAAGCTGTCTTTTCTTTGTCTACTAGGTCCATTTCCATTTGCCAGTATCCAGACTTCAAGTCTAAGGTAGAGATTAGTTTACTTCCGGAAAATGTGTCCAAGGTATCGTCGATACGAGGCAGAGGGTAATTGTCTTTCTTGATAACATTGTTTAACTGACGGTAATCCACACAGAACTTCGTAGTTCCATCCTTTTTCTGGACCAGGACTACCGGAGAGACCCATGGGTTGGTAGAAGGTTCTATCACCCTGTCTTCCTTCATTTCCTGAACAATCCTTTCAGCTTCCTCTCTCTTGGCCTTTGGTAATCTTCGAGCTGATTGACGAATCGGCCTGGCATCACCAGTATCAATTTTGTGTTTTACGACAGAAGTTCTTCCTCCTTTTGGTACAAAAATGTCACGATATCGTCGAAGAAATTCATTTATTTTCTTTTTCTCTAATTGATTCAGAGATTGACCATCAACTGCAATCATTTGCTCGAATTTGTCGTCGGAATTATCAAAAGTTGTTGTCTTACGAATTATGGAAGTTACTGGTACACAAGTTCCGATTCTGGTCTCTTTTTTGATGGTAATTGGGTGATCACTAACGTTCATAAGACGAACTGGAATCTCTTTAGCAGTCGTCACCACCCCCCTTTCCGATCAGAATTCCTCGTCCAACCTCTTCATCGTGATTCTAAGGTTCCATCATGACAGGTGTTCCTTCTTCCACAGTTTCTTGTAGCCGTGCTACTATAACGGTTTCACTTCTGCCAGTCCTGTACACTGGCACGGTACTGTCCCCATATGGATGTAGAAATAACTCTTGGGCACCAACTCTGTTCTTAAAGTTTAACTGGAAACCATGTAAGTTCATTACATACATTCCAAGTATAACATTTTCGATATCAGCGACAATAACAGTATGAGTGAACTTTTCTGTACCGATTCCCAATTGAATCTGGATTTCCCCATGGATGTTGGTACTTTCACCTGTGGCAGTCCGTAGTCGCAATCTTGTTGGTAGAAATTTCTTACGGTTATAGGTCGTATAATAGTCCTAGTTGCTCCAGTATCCACCAACAGTGTATATTTTACCATTTACTTTGCCGTCTACGTATACACTATCATCACGACATTTCAAAGCTGCCCCCTCTAGACCGACCCGCTCTAGTTTTCCTGCGGCGTGTTGTCTTGATTCGTTGTGACCCTAGGGCGTTTGCACGAACTGCGTACATGTCCCAGTTCATCGCAATTTCAGCACCTGATGGTCTTTGACATCTTTCTGTCAGTAAGGCTCTTCATCATGTTTATCAGTTGGTCGAGTTTACCTTCCTCTTCTTCTTCTTTTACATTCCTTACTTTACTGTATCCACCAAAAGCCTGCGTAGCTGCCTGATATTCTAAAGCAGCGGACAAGACATCGACCAATATTTTGTGGCGAGCTAAGCGGAGTGTTTTCTGGATTTAGTGGTCACGGAGTCCATCAACAAATGTTTGGACTGCCAAACATTCCATCATGTTTTCCGGAGCTGATGGGTAAGCAAATCGCACCAACTTGGCAATATCTATTTCATATTCTTGAAGGGTCTCGTCTCGTTTCTGTTTGCGATTCTTTAACTGTGACTGGTATAAATGTTCCAAATGTTCGTGGCCATATCGCATGTTGAGTCTCTTTTTTAGTTGTTCAAAATCATAAGTCTCTTCCACGGGTGTAATCTGAAGAACATCTAAAGCGTCTCTTCGAAGGGCGATGGTCAAATTTACTGGCTTCTCTCGTTCAGACCATTCGTTTGCTCTGGCAGCTGTTTCGAACTGTTTAAGGTAGTTGGTCCATGACATCTTCCCGTCCCACGAGCATAATTTACAGCTCCTTCCAACTTCAACTCCACCTCATGGCACTTTATTTTACCGTCCTTGGCCGGTTTTGTATGTTCCAGTTCTTTTCCATCTCTTTTATTTTCTCCTCAACGGAAGACATTATTTTATTCTCAAAGGAAGAAATCTTATCTTCCATAGAAGAAATTTCGTTTTTCATAGAAGACATTTCGGAAGACACTTTTTGTTCTAAAGAATTATTAGACGAAAATTTATTTTCCATAGAAGACACCTTTTCTTCTAAGGAAGAAACTTTACTATCTAAGGAAGTAATGTCTGAAGAAACTTAAGTTTCTAATAAGGAAATGTTAGAAGAAATATCGGTTTTCATAGAGGTCATATCAGAAGACATTTCGATTTTTAAGGAAGAAATCTTACTTTCTACGGAACAAATTATTGCAGAAGATGCATCATCCGAAAATAGATACGTTTCCGCATCCAATCCTTCACTTTCTAGTGCTTCCTTAGCTCGGTCACTTTTAAATCGTACAGTCTTTTAGCCATTTTAATCACTATTTACACTATCCCACTTCTGACACCAATGTAATGATTGTTTATTTTAAACAACAGTTTATTTATTAATAATTTATTTAAACACTTATTTATTTTAAAACAATACTATTCTAATTTATCTTCACAGTCTAATACTTTATTCTCAACTGTCTATATACAACTAACTGCTCCATGTTCCTCCACCAATATTTATATACACATTTAAAATTTTGGCGAAGGTACCAGAATCTTCTTACCTATTCTCACCAACACTAGAAACATTATCACGTTCTACCTGGAAATTTCTCGATAGCGCCTTCGCCATAGTCGTCACATATGTTTGGTCTTAAGGGGTTTAATTATGTATGATAATCGGACAAGTTGAGCCTCATAGGCCAAATAAGACAGAGGGACTTGGAGGATTAGAGCATGACTGAATAATGAAATGGCCCACATTACAATAACCTCTGACGAACATTTTAACAAGGAGTGTCTTTTGAGGTGGAAAAGGAATTTTTAAAACAAAGCGAGTTTTAAACGAATGGAAAAACTTTTGAGGCAACGCAGGGGTTTTAAGACTATGGATTGCATTTTTAGGTAATATAATAAAATATGATGAACAATATTATGTCACCAAGAGTGTCTTTTGAGGTAATCCAAGTTCTAAGGCAGTGGAATGCCCTTTTAGGCAAAATAACCTCTAATCAACATTTGAGGTAATAAGAGTGATTTTTGAGGTAATCCAGATATTTCTAAGGTAATGGAATGCCTTTTAAGGCACTAGAATAAACTCTTATGAATATTTGAGGTAGAATAGGAATTTTTGTGCCAATAAAGTGACTTTTAACGTAACTGAAGCTTTTGAGGAAATGCAGCAGTTTTAAGGCTATAGAAATGGGTTTTAAGTAACAATAAAAACTGATGAACCTTTCTAGTTAATAAGAGTGTATTTTGAGGTGATTAAGGCAATGCAATGCCTTTTTAGGTAAAAACCTCTCTGATGAACATTTGAGTTAATAAGAGTATGTTGTGATGTAATATCTGTAGAAGTATTCCAGTGATTGCAAGGAAATAGAAAGCCTTTTAAGAATAATAATCTCCGATGAATATTTGAAGTGAAAGAGGAATTTTTGAAATAATAAAGCGACTTTTAAAATATTAGAACTTTTGAGGTAACGCAGGGGTTTTAAGGCAATTGAATGCGTTTTTAGGTAATATAATAAAATGTGATGAACCTTTATCTTAAGAAGTGTTTTTTAGATAATACAGAGATATACAAGACAACGGAATGCCTTTTAAGCTACTAGAATAACCTCTGATAACCATTTGAGGTACTAGTGTCTTTTCAGATAGAATAGGATTTTATGTGCAAATAAAGTGACTTCTAATGTAACGGAAGAACTTTTAAGGAAATGCAGCAGTTTAAAGAATAGGTTTTTAAGTAACAATAAGATTTGATGAACCTTTAGAGTTAGTAAGAGTGTGTTGTAATAATTCCGTAATTTATAAAGAAATTGAAATACTTTAAGATAACAGAATAATCTACAAAGAACATTTGAGGTAATAAAAGTGTTTTTTTTTTGTCGAAAAATAAGGATTTTTGAGACAATGAAGCCACTTTTACCGCAATGGAAGATCTTTTGTGATAATTCAGGTGCTTTAAGGCTATGGAATGCGTTTTTAGGTAATATAAATAAAATCTGATGAACTTTTGAGTCAATAACTGCGTTTTTGGTAATAAGAGTATCTTTTAATCTAATCTAAGGATTTCTAAGGCAGTGGAACGTCTTTTTAGGCAATACAATAACCTCAGATGAACATATTGGATCAATAAGAGTGTTTTTTGTATCTGTATTTTGAGGCAGAATATGATGTTTTGAGGCAATAAAGCTACTTTTGTAGTAATGCAACCAGCAGTTGTAAGGCTATGGAATGCATTTTTAGATAACATTAAAATTGGATTGATTTATTTATTGATCTTTTTTCCATACAATGCAAAAACCTTTCGAGTTAATAAGAGTGTCTTTTGGAATGTCTTAGGTAATAAAAGAACCTCTCTGATGAACATTTGTTAATAAGAGCGGTTTTTATGGTAAAAAGATGTCTTAAGGGGTTAAGTGTAAAAAAATGACAATTTTAAATAATTTTTTTGCCAGTAAATTATTTTATTTTATAAAAGTAAAAACATAGCATCATTAAATAAGGTTTCGACTTGACAGAAATTTTAGAAGAAAAAAATAATAATTTTAAAAATAATGGCTGTTTGTGTTGATCCAGTACCAACTGAAGCTCCTTGCGGCGACCATCACTTATCCTTGGAGATTCATCTAAAATCAATCGGACAAAAAAACATTTTTATTAATAGATAACACAGGGCAACAAAAAAATTTTTTTTTTGGTGCCTGGCATTTTAAAGCTGATTTTAACTATATTTGGGACGCTAAATCTGTACATGCAATCCGTTTTTCTCTATCAGCTCTACTTTTTTAGATACATCAACTTATCTACCAATGTGGTTTTTATTCAGTATATTCATTTATGAGAGTTCTAAAATTATTATATATTCATTAATGTAGGTACAATGGTTTTATTGTCAGTCTGTAATTGAGTAAATTCCAGGTAAATCTATAAATAGTGGAATCATTGTCTATCAGGTACCTGAACTGACCCTTTTAATCCCTTAACTCGGGTAAGTCTCGTCAGTTTGTGCGTTCTTACTAATGAGAGTAGATCGAATTCGGCGTGTTATTTTATGTTAAGAAAAGAGTGTTTTTGTGTTATTGAACAGAATTAAAATGAGTTCAGGTTCCAGTTCAAGAAGAAGTTGTGTAAAGCAACCTGATGTGTTTTGCTATATATGCGGGGAATACATGTTTCAACAAAACAGACAAACTATTACTGACTTTGTAAAGCGAGCGTATCTTGGATATTTTGGAGTTAACCTTGGTGGTCAGGACAAAAAGTGAGGCCCGCATTTCGTATGTAAAACTTGTACAGAGCATTTACGGCAGTGGACTACCGGGAAAAGAAAATGTCTAAAATTCGGCGTACCAATGGTTTGGAGAGAACCAAAAAAACACTTCAATGATTGTTATTTCTGTTTAGTAAATACTAAAGGAATCAATCGAAATAACCGCAGTAAGTGAACTTATCCCAATGTAGACTCGACAATACGCCCTATCCCGCACTCAGATTCCAACATTTCATCAGCTACCAGATATCTCTGATGACGAATATTTTCCCCCTGATCGCTGTTCTGATGCTAATAAAACTAACAGTGACTATGAGGAGACGACATCAGTTCCTCAACGCTTCAATGAAAATGAATTAAATGATCTCACCAGGGATCTCATTTTATCGAAAAAAAAAAACTTCTGAAGTACTGGCTTCTAGGTTGAACGACAAAAATTTATTGGAACAAGGAACCAAAATTACCTTTTACCGTACAAGAGAAAAGTATCTGTTACCATTCTTTTCTCAAGAAGACAATCTTGTATTTTGTCACGAAATTAATGGACTCATGAAAGAAATGGGACTTCTGAATATATTCCAGATGATAGGCGGCTATTTATTGACAGTTCAAAGCGAAGTTTAAAATGTGTCCTTCTACATAATGAGAATAAATATGGTTCAATACCACTAGCTCACTCAACGAAACTGAAAGAAGAATATAATACCGTAGCTTTGTCTTGCAGAAGATAAAGTATCACGAACATCAATGGATGATTTGTGTAGACTTAAAAATGGTAAACTTTCTTCTTGGGCAGCAAAGTGGTTACACGAAATATCCGTGTTTCTTGTGCCTCTGGGATAGTAGGGACAAAACACACCACTGGGTTAGAAAAGATTGGCCTCAAAGAGAAAACCTGAACGTTGGGGAAAAGAATGTCATTAACGTCTCTTTGGTTGAAAGAGAAAAATCATACTTCCTCCGTTACATATAAAGTTGGGCTTAATGAAGCAATTTGTAAAGGCTCTTGATAAGAATGGGTCATGTTTTGCATATATAGGGGTAAAAATGCATCAGTTGAGCACAGAAAAACTCAAAGCAGGGATATTTGACGGCCCACAAATAAGACAATTAATTCAATGAATCAAGTTGAACGAGAAGCTTGGACATCATTTGTTGCAGTTGTAGAAAATTTTCTAGGCAAACATAAAGCTCAAAACTATGTTGAAATGGTTAACAAGATGCTTAATAGTTTCAAATCCATAGGGTGCAATATGAGTATTAAAATACACTATTTACACAACCACTTAGACCGTTTTCCAGAAAATTTAGGAGACATGAGTGAGGAACAAGGAAGATGTGACATGCACATGATGGCAGATTACAGCTGGAGTTTAAAAAAACATTCAAGAATGTCGCGGAAAAGAAGCTTTCGAAGTGTTGAGTGACTAAAAGCAGGCCGCAGACCTAAGGTACAATCGTTGCGCCACAAATGCGTTTCCACTTTTATCGTTCAACATTCAAAAAAACTCCCACAAATGCGGTACGAGCACGCACATCAGGTTTAGTTGTAACGCATTTGTACCATGTCGTCGTCTTCTGATAATGATGATTTTATGATGTGGCAACTATTAAGACGAAACCGCAAAAAACGTCGCTACTGGGTTCATCCCTACAACGATGGTTGCTCTCTAAGAGGAAATTTTGAGATAAAACAGTTAGTGAATGATGAAGAAAAATACCAATCGTATTATAGAATGTTAATTAATACATTCAAATTACTACTGGAACTGGTTGGTCCAAGACTGCAAAAGGAGGACACGAAATTCAGGGAGTCTATTTCTGCTGAAGAACGTTTATTGATTATATTAAGGTAAGAACGAATATAAAAAATAAAAAAATAGTTAACCTTAACATTGCGAATATGAAGTCTGTGAAGGTGCAAGATTTTGTAGGTGAATGGTTTGCTGCGAATGGGTATTTGGATATGTGGGATATGCATCAGGTGTAAGATCTTGTAGGTGAGTGGTTTGCTGCGAATGGGTATGTAAATAGGATGGCTGTGCAGGTGTAAGATCTTGTAGGGTAGTGGTTTGCTGTTCTTTGTATCCTACATCAAATGAAGTGTAATACGAACTTGCAGTCACTTTTGAAAGGTCTTGTTGGCCAGAATCTGATTGCACTGGATATTTTATGTTTTCGATTAGCTTCAAAATGCCTTTTTGAAATGATAACTGTTGCCGTGGGGTCATTGATTCCATTTGGGGCACGAGACTTAGAAGAAACATCTCACAAGAATTTGGTTTTTGCTGTTGTGAAGAAGTTAATGTTTCTGCTTTTTTCTTCTTTAAAGTAAAATAATCAATTGCGCATTTATCTGCAGCATTAAGTCCTTTGGTATTGTATGACCTTTTTTTTACCCGTTTGCCGTTTAGCTTACTACGAAGAGTTGGGCTCTCTCTTAGACTCCTCATATCTGTTTGTTGATCGGTATTATCAGTAGTAGAGGGACCTGCGCGGGGTGTATCTGGTAGAAAAGAGTTTTGACTTTCGCCCAAATCATCAAAATCCGTCGATATTTGTCTATCTCTGGATTCACTATCTGTGGAATCAGCTTCATTAGTCTCGGTTTCTTCATTGCCCGTATGCGATTCTTCATTCAGATTTTCGGGTTCTTTAGTAAATGGTCCAGATTGTAGATTTCCTTCTTGGGGGTAATTCTGAATGCATTCAAAAATTGCAGGTATTTTGCTAGGTAATATGGTTTTTTTTGAACCGGCACTAGATCCACTTTTACCTTTAGCACTAAGACTGCGAATGTATGACGAACGTATTCCTTTCCATTTGCTTTTGCAGCTTTCCCCTGTAAATTAAAAAAATATGCTTATAATAATAAAGGTAAATAAAAAACAGAAAATTATACTGACTGGCTTCAATATACTTTTTAAAAGGGATTTATTTAAAGACTGTCATAGTATTTATTGTGCAAATCTCAAAATCAGTGCGCTCTTTTGTGCCAGCGCCAACGTAATCAGATATTACCAGACTTACCGATAATAACCCGGTTTCTAATAATAACCTAACCGGGTTAATATCGGTAATTTTGATAATGTCTAATTAAAATTGCAAGTTATTAGCTCGTTGGCTACCACATACGAGTATGTCTAATATTTATGTCTTTTACCCTAGGTTCCTGGCCACTGGCTCATCATTTCGAGCCATGTCGTACGTTTTTATGAGAGGTGAAACAACAATAGGCCAAATCATTCACGAAGGCTGTGACGTTATATGGCAAGTTTTGCAACCGCTTTATATGAAAAAACCAAGTACAAGTGACTGGTTAGAAATTTCTGACAAATTTCTGGAATTTTGGAATTTACCACACTGTATTGGTGCAATAGATGGAAAGCACATTCGCATTAAGAAACCGACAAATTCGGGATCTGTATACTTCAACTAAAATAGTATATTATGCAACGATCATGTAATGATGGTTATTAATACACGAGCATTAACCGGGATACGAAACGAGCCAAAGGCGAGTTTCGTATGGTTTATGCGAGTGTTTTAATAACCATTACATGAGAGTTGCATACGCTATTTTTTCTACACCCGATAAATAATCAAGACCTATAAATATTATATTTATATTGGTATTGAACACAATAACAGTAATTACTCGTATTTCTATAAAAAATTCTACAAAATTGTAATTAATGGTATTACTTCAGGTATTGGTATTTCCCTAGATTTTTGCGGTAAAATATTTTGTACTGTATTTTCTGCTTTCTCCGATATGTGTGGAGGAGTCTTCTATATCGCTAATATCAGACATTTTAATATTATAATTATCGAAGTTTAGCTACCTACGAAAATTTAATACGTTTTGACAACTAAAATAATTACATAGGAACCTAGGACAAACGTCAAACAGCATGCTTGATTGAAAAATTGTAGGTTTCTATTGATTAAAAATCTGTATCGTAATGAAAAATCTGTATCATAATGGGTATCATTATGAAACGGATTATGGGCATATAAGTGCATTATTATAATACGGGTGTAGAAAAAGAATATTTTTCCATTAATCTCATGGCATGTGCAGATGCAAATGGATTATTTGCAAGTATTGATGTTGGAGATTATGGAAGAAATAATGATTCTGGAGTATTTAGAAATTCAAGCCTTGGACGAGCACTTTCAACCAATATTCTGAATATTCCCACGCCGTCGCCATTGCCAGGAGAGGAATTAGGCCCTTCATTTCCATACTTTTTCGCAGCAGATGAGGGATTTCCCTTATGTGAAAATATTATTAGGCCTTATAATCAAAGAAATTTGACTAACACACGAAGAATATTCAATTATCGATTATCTCGGGGTAGGAAAATTGTAGAATGCACTTTTGGCATGCTTGTCTCAAAGTTTCGTGTGTTTGAGACCCCTCTTTTATGTTCAGTGGCCAAAAGTATAAAAATTGTTAAAGCTGCTTGCGTTTTACACAATTTTATTAAAATACAGGAGAAAGGGCATTTAAATTTCTCTGCAGAAAATGCATCGACTGAAAACATTTTAAATCTCAGAAATAATTTAAGTCAAAATCATGGAAGGCCTAGCAACCAAGCCGTCCAAAATAGAGATTATTTGGCTGATTATTTTGTAAAACCTTATGGCTCGGTACCTTGGCAAGATAACTATACAGTTTAATAAATTTTTGGTATTATACTGTAATTGTAAAATTATAAATTCGCTAGAGAAAATTTAGCAAAAAAAAAGTTGATTAAATTTAGTTTTTACAGGATTATAATATCCAACGGTTAGAACTATAAACTATCCTAATAAATCAAAAAAATTGTTGTTTTTACTTACCAGTTTCATTAAACTTTTTCCCAATTTTTGTCCAGTTCAATTCTGTTGTCCTTCTGTTACTATACTCTGCTAAATTGTGGTCATATAATTTCTCAATTTCTTGAATAAATGATATAGTTTCATTAATATCGTCCTTCATTTTAAATTTTTGAAAAGCAACACGTCGCAACAAATATGGAACAAGTTGGTTCTACGGCTTCGTAGCGCAAATGCTGAGTGGATTCAAATGCGTCCTGTCAACAAATGCATCTCAAGTGTACGGATGTTAATTTAAATACACAGAAGCGTTAAATGCTGTCCGATACATTTGTGACAACGCATTTGTGGCGCAACATTTGTACCTTAGGTCTGCGGCCTGCTTATTTGATTTCTTCAATGTTTTTTTTGTTTATAAGTACGACATAATATTGTATTTTGTATAACTAAAATAAAAATGTCGTATCTACTTTTGATTACTACACTTACGGATTTGAGTTAAAATAATGTAACTTTTTTTCTCTCCTAGCTCCTAGGTAAAAATGCATACGTTATTTGAATTCAGGACATCAAATTGATATAGAATAGGCTCAAAAAACCTCGACACCAAAACAGCTATCCCCCTGTGTAATCTAGTGCCTGATAGGATTTTTTTTTAATTTCGATTTTTTATAAACAATTCACTGTTTTTTTCCCGAAAATCTGGAAAACATTTTCCTGAGGCCGCCAATTTGTTAATAAAAAAAAAAGTTTCGACCCGTCACTAAATTATCTATTAATAAAAATAATTTTTATTGCCAGATTGATTTTAGATGAATCTCCAAGGATAAGTGATGGTCACCCCAAGAAGCTTCGGTTGGAACTGGATCAACACAAACAGCCATTACTTTTAAAATTATTTTTTTCTTCTAAAATTTCTGTCAAGTCGAAACCTTATTTAATGATGCTATGTTTTTACTTTTATAAAATAAAATAATTTACTGGCAAAAAAAATTATTTAAAATTGTAATTTTTTCATGTATCTGACCCCTTAAAACAATTAAGGTCTTTTAGATAATAAAATAACCTCTAATGAACATTTAAATTAATGGGAGTATATTGAGGAAAATAGGAATTTTTTTTAGGTAATTATGATTTTTATAGCGTAGAAGGTAGGTGAAATAAAAACAATCGAAGAAAATTAAAAATAATATACTGCACAAAAATAAATATATATAGATAACAACACTGTTCGAACATAAAAATTTACAATAATTATTATTGTTAATGAAATAATTTTTCACTGGGATCAATACAAACAAAACTAAACGACTAAACCAGAAGTCAGTCTACACAAGCTAGTTTTCAGAAAAAAACGGCCGTTATTGAAATTCATATTTATTTTTGCTAATTCATAATAGTCCTGTTGAATTTTTAAACAGCATTTTTTCAAATGGTTAAGTTCACCACCAAATTTAAAAAAAAAAAAAAAAATAATAAACTTTTACATTATAAGTCCAGTATTTTCAGCAGCTGAACAGTTTTTTTTTTTAGACAATATATAAAAGTACAGTTACAATATCACATTTATTTTTTACGAGTTAGAGACTTATTAGACTTATATTTCTAAAATTACATACTTACGTTTGATTTTTTTTTTCCAAAAACTAGCACGTCTTGTAAATTAAATCCGATCTGTTATCGAAGATTTTCCTGTTTTTTTTTTTTTGTTGGAAAACGTAGAGGTCGAATGTGAATGCGACGCTCGTTTACGGAAAATTCGGGTTTTTGGGAATTTCTAGAAAGGTTTTTGAAAAAAATGTGGAAATTTTTGTAAAAAAATTAAGTTACGAACGTAGAAATAAATTATGGGGCAGACAAAATATTAAAAGAAATAAAATTAAAAAAATGTTTGATTTATTAATCAAGAAAAAAAATAATAAAACTAGAAGATTGTTCTTGAAATTTTCTTCCTCCTAAAAACGGGAGCACAAATATTTTCACAAAAAATTATCCGTTAGTCTGTTTTGGCGGAAAAAGGAGACAACAAAAAAATCGATCCACAATTCCGACAATATACCAAATCTTTCGAAAAAAATCCCAATTAATACAATAATACCTAATAATTAAGCATCTCTTTATTTACAAAACCTCAAAAATAGAAATCTAGCATACCAACATGTTCCCGGGCGCGTTAAATCCCCCGCCCCCGCATCCCGGAGGCGGTGGCTCGTCGTTTCTACTGTGCCTAAAATTCAAATACTTTCCACTCTGCTGATTACTCCTCTCCGCCTCCAACTCTGACTGATCCTTCGTCAGCACGATCTGTAACCGACTCGAAAGTATCGTGGGAGGCAGATCGTCCGGCTCCTTGATATCCTGCCGGCTGTAGAACAGGATGTACGCCGTCTCCGGCGGCTTAAGGCGACGGAGGTCGTCGGTGGTGGCTTTGCTGACAAAGCTGTCGTTAAATTTGTACCACTGGCGGCTGTGGTGGTCTCTGGCCAGCGTGTAGTAATGGCCCGAGTCGACGCTCGAGCCGCAATGGACGACGGCCGCGTACAACTCGTATCTGTAGGCGTCCAGGGTGAGATAGTCGTCCAGCATGACAGTCTGTAGGAGTTTGGTACGTTGGTGGGACGTGGGGTCGTACCTGGAATGCAATCGATCACACATTTAACTTAAGAAACAACATTCCTCTACATTTAAAGTGGAAAATCGGTATTTAAAGTCAAAAATCTGTGTTTAAAGTCAAAAATCTGTGTTTAAAGTCAAAAATATGTGTTTAAAGCCAACATATGTGTGTTTAAAGTCAAAATTTCGTATTAAAGTCCACATATTGCATCTAAACTCCAAATTTAGTGAATAAAGTCGAAACTTCATTTTTAAAGTCCACATATTGCATCTGAAGTCCAAATTTAGTGTTTAAAGTGTACATTTTGTGTTTAAAAAACTAGATTTCCTAGTCTGACTAATTGGCAATGCCAATGGCATAAATTCTAAACAAAAAGTCAGGATTTCTAAAGTCCAGCGTGCGTTTGTGTTTAAAGTTCAAATATACAGTATCTGTTCATACTTTCAAGCGCTATACCAAAAATCCGAAATTTTAAGTCCAAATTTTGAATTTAATGTCGAAATTTTGATCGTCCAAATCTAAAAAATAAGAAGTTGTATGTTGAAGCAGGCGAGGATCTGGCAAGATTTTTCGGGGGGTAAGGGGGTTAATTATTTTATTCATCGCCACCATCTTGTTTTTGCTTTCTCGTAAAATCTCGAGGTCACAGTTTAATGAATTTCAGTATTTCTTTGAGCAGCTCGGAAGGGGGTGGGGGGGGGGAGGGGTAATTACCATTTTACCCATTCACATACATTCGCGCGGCAATTGAAGGATTGTATTTAAGTGTTACTATGGAGATTAGCGATTTACCAATTTCAAGGGCATTCGTCAAACGAAATTCCGTTGTTTAAAGTAGAAATTTCGCCTATATTTCATATTTATAGTCCATATTTTGTAATAAAAGTCCAAATTCCATGTTTAAAGTACAAATTTCAGGTTAAAGGTTCACATATAGTGTCTAAAGAGTAGTTTTAGTGTTTCAAGTGTACATTTTGTGTTTAGAGCGCAAATTTAGAGATTCAATTTCGAATGCAAAGCTGAAAATATGACATTTTAAGACCAAGTTTAGAATTTAAGTTCAAAATTAGAATTTTAAGTCCAAATTTTGACCGGCAAGATGAATGACACGGAGTTGTAAGGCGAAATATATTTAAGTGTTTAATAGCGAGATTAGTGATTTACCGATATATTTTCGGAGGCATACGTCAAATTTAGAATCAAAATTTCGTTGTTAAAATTCGAAATTTCGTTCAAATTTCATAATTACACTCCATTTTTTTGTATCAAAGTTCAATGTTTAAAGGTCAAATTTCTTGTTTAATGTCTACATATTGTTTTTAAAAAAAAAATTTTAGTGTTTCAAGCGTTTTTAGATTCATTTCATAATTTTAAGCGCAAAGCTAAAATACTAAATTTTAAGACCTTTAGAATTTAATTACCAAATTTAGAGTCCAAATTTTTTCCGACAAAGCCGCAAAATGCGAAGATGTAAGTCGAAATATTATATTTAAGTGATTAATAGCAAGCTTAGGGATTTACCCATACATTTTTGGAGGCATATGTCAAATGTAGAAGCCAAATTTCATTGTAATCGTAATTTTGCCTATATTCTGTATTTATAGTCCATATTTTGTTTTAAAGTCCACACTTTGTGTTTAAGTCCAAATTTCATGTTTAAAAGTCTACATTTCATATTTAAAGTTAACATTTAGTGTTTAAAGCCCAAATTTATAGAACTTCAATTCATAATTTCAAGCGTAAGTTGTAAATACGAAATTCAAACCAAAATTAGAAATTTTGACCAAGCTGAAAAATATGAAGCTGTATGTTGAAATATTATATTAAATGGTTTAATAGTGAGATTAGTAATTTGTGGGAGCATATGTCAAATTTCTCCGTTTTGAAAAATTTTACAGGAGAGAAGAAAAACGTTATTTTTTAACAAATACATTATTACTGTTTTTATTCACATCTAACACATATAACTTTGAATATAACACAAAAAATCATTCCCATGCGTTCTTCTTTTAAACAAAAGTGGCTAGGCAAATTTCTTTTTGGCAATTATTGTCAAATTGGAAATCGGCAAATTTCTATTATTTCAATTAGGCAATCCAACGACCTGTCAAATAAATTCAATATGGCGCTTGGTTGGCACACAAACTGAACGTCAGTATTGTTTACTTTTGTAAATCGAACATTTTGGAATCTTTTTTGAAGTGATTTAGGTATAATTTCGATTAGTTTTTTTAATAAATAGTGTAAATTTAGTATAATTTTGAAAGAAATGCCTGTAACCTGCCTTGTTGTTAATTGTGGAAGCCGTGCTGATCGGGATGTGTTTGGTTATTTTCGGGTCCCTACGTTGAAAAACTCTGTGCATTACCCACATATTAATACTTTATCAAGGAGAAGAAGGGAAATGTGGATAGCAGCTATAAAGAGGGACGATCTAACTGAATCGATTTTAAAAAATCAGAGGATATGTAGTAGACATTTTATTACAGGTAAAGACAAGTTTATAATATGTATCTTTAATATTTGAAACATTTATACATTATATTTAT